TGAGTATAATTGGTCAAATCAACTTAAAAGTTACCCATTACTTGTGAATTCCAAAACGTTATTGATGGCTTTAGCTAATATTGAATCAAAATAACTTGATTCACGGATATTATCAAGATTTATTTGACGAATGTAAATTTAACATTGTAAAAATCTTTAGTATTTATGTTATCCCTCCGTATGAGTTTTATCCGAAAACCGGGTTCTAATTAATTTAATTTAATTTTAGAAAAAAATCCAAACTATATGGATAAATCAACTACCTTGGTAGTTTTCATAAATTAATGTAGTTGACAAAAAAAACTTTTAATACAAAATACATAAATTAGTAGTAAAATAATAATATATTAACTTTGTATAGTAAAGTAATTAGTAATAACTAAAAATATAATGTAATCCAAATCCCATAAAATAATATATGTAAAACCATGTCCACAAATCTGTGATTAATAATTAGACTTAGAGGAATTAAAACGACATATAGAAATGGAGTTTAAGGGAGCGTCAGAGAAAGAAAGAAACAGCGACCAATACTCTCCTCTCTCTGCGCTTTAATTTGAACTTGTGGAGAGAGAAAGGGTTAGATAGAGAGATAGCGAAAGAGAGAGACACAGGAGAGCAAACTTCGTCAAGGGATTGTGGTTAAAGATCCGATTAAAGGATCCATTTGGAGCTCCGATTCGAGCTAGAGGCAATGAACGGAAGACAGAGATCTGGCGCAGCGGCGGTGCACCACCAGAGACAGCTTTCCGATAACCCTCTCGACATGTCTTCCTCCAATGGCCGATGGCTTCAATCTACTGGTCTTCAGCATTTTCAGTCATCCGCCAATGTAATCTCAGAATCTGATCCTTTTCTTCTCCTCCTCCTTATCTTTCCATCGATTCAAAAATTTAAATTTCTATGAAGTTTCTAAGAAGATCTGTTAGTTCAGGAGAGAAACTCTCCGATCTGTGTTCTGGGCAAATTTGTTCTTGACAATATTATGCATTTTCTCGAT